CCCCAAAAAGGGTGACTCCATTGTTTACAGCTTTTCAGTTGTATTGTCATACCAGATTCCTCAGTGTGATTTCCTGAAGCTGGGATCCTGGCTTTCATCAACTTGTGTCTGCTTTCAGTCTTTGTCCTGTCCTACTGCAGGAGTTTCCTGTGAAGACTAATCGCTAAGACATGTTTTCTATATTGACGTGCTGTAATACCTGCTCCTAAACACTACAGGAAGAGTAAGCAGAAGATAGCCACACAGTAGGGTTCCAATATTACAGAATTGGAAATGCTTTCCTCTCCCAATTGCATGTGAACTTTTAACATTGCAGGAGTTGCTGGATTTAGTTAGACTCATCTGCTAACAGTTCAGTGTTTTTCACTGGACAACACTGTACTCAGGAGACTTCCTTTATCTCTAAATGCAGAGAACAGCAAATGAAACTTGTAATGTGTCGTGGCCTGACTGATGATTACACTATCACAAATGAAGGCCTTCAGTCAGGTATCTTAAGTTATTACAAGAAAATTAAATACATTTCATAGTATAAGAATACAGTAATGTATATACATTCTATATATATTGTTAGTATATATCTTACTTTAAAGAAATAATTTAATGTTGTCCTGGTTTGGGGTAAAATAGAGCGGGTTCGGCTCAATGATTTTAACTTTTTAGCTAAAGCTCTTCTAATTAACTGCTCTGTCTGAAGTTAGCAGCGTTTTCACAAACTGTCTGGCTTTAGCAGTGATAACACTCCATGTTTAGAGTTACTGCCAGGGGTTGGTGTGCAGACCAAGGCCACTGCTAAGCTTGGATCCCACACAGAGGGGGGCAGAGAGTACCCTGCACCTGTGGGGAGGAGTGGGCAGGATAAGTGACCCCAAGATTCACCAGTGGGGTGTTCCATCCCACAGCTGGCATAGCCAGTAAAGCTGGAGGGTCGGGAGAGGCAAGCCCTGCCATCACCCCTTCTGCTCTCTCTCTTCCGTCTGCTGCTGCTGGGCTGCTTAAAGCAGCATTTCATTAAGTAGTATTTAATAAATTAATTTAAATGCAGCATTTAATTTCCACAATGTTAAAGTTCCTGTGTCATGGAGGGGAGGAACCTATTCCCAGTTCTGCAACACTGGAGAAGAAAAAGAACTATATAGGCGGTCTGTAACGTTCAGGGAAGTATTCACATTAATGCAGACAGGTTTTTATTGAAATATATTCATTCATAGTTTTGAGTTATTATAGATTTTGGCAATACTGCATCACAAGTTAGCTGATGATGGGTTAGCTCTCCTTTTTAATTAAAAAAAAAAGTGTACCTAAATATAGGGCCATCATAATTTTTTTCATGATACTTGTTAATTTGGATATGCCTTGAAAAATTCCTTTGAAGGAGGAAAAAAATCCTCTGTAAACATGAGAGATTGGCCTTGAGCACTACAGTGGATGATACTGAGCACTTGAACAGTGGGAAGGACAAAAGAAATGCAATATATGTTCAGTTGCTTATGCTGAACTCATTGACGTTTTATTTCTAGTCTCCATTAGAAATATCTACGCAGAATATACGTTCTAAAGTTCTGTAAATTCAAGGTATATTATGGCAATTATTTTTTAATTGTATGTGTGAAAGAGGCAGTAGAACGTAGTGTTACTGCCACAGCTTTGCTGCTGAAAACTCTGCACTGTGGGTGAACATCCTCTGAAGCACTGATATCAGATGTCAAAGGCTGTACTGATGCATTGCACTCATTTTTTGTTGTACACGTCAATACATGGTCAGGATAGAGAAAGCTAAACTGTCAGCTCTAGTGCTATTGGATTATACAATCAGTTAATGTTCTAATACTGTGCATTTTCTAATTTTCATTGCAGTTTACTTGATTACCAAGGTCTTTTATAAAGGCTTGATGACCCATCATTAGTTCTTTTCCTTATTGTACTTATGTTCTTGGCATT